GCTCTTCCATGGATACTGCTTCAGGTCCCATCATGGCTTTAATAAATGATGAACTGTAACCTGTAAGTCAAATAAGTCAAAACCTCCAAGTAGGTTTTGGTCAGAGTCTTTTATTACAGCCACGGAAAGCAAACTAGGACACCTACCAAGGCGGGACGAGGCATGCTTCCTGGGCTCTCCTCCCATGGGTACTTTTGTTCCCTTGCCTGAAGTGAAACCACCTGTCCCCTGCCTCTCCAGTCAGTATGTCCTGGGATTCAGAGCTGGCAGGTTTTAGTGACATGGTGCTGAAGGCCATTTGTTATTGAAACCATTGCTCTGAGTGGGAATCTGAAGTACCTTGTGCTGATTTATTTTTTCGTCTTCTCTATGAATATTTATTCATTTTCAGTAGGACAACACCATCAACTCTCTTTCCCAGTGTGAATAAAAGTCCCCCCAAACTTTCCATCTTTAGCCCCCTAAACAGCCACTCCTTGCCCACCTCTGCTTCTGATCTAACATCCCGTTGAACTATATTAGCAACTTAACCTAAGTTATTCCATCTTTCTCAGAATAGCTATTTTAATAGTGACCTCTTTTCACTTATGGGAAATATTTAAAAAGAGACAACAGCCTTGAGTTCCAAGAAAGAGCTCAACCACAAACGAGTGGAACGTGCTAATCTCAGACATTCTACATCTGGCTAGCTGCTTGTTTTCACTTCTCTAACTCGCTTGCTATTTTAGGTCACCTTGACACAGAGTATAAGACTACCCTATTATTGTATGACCACCTGGTAACTGCTGATTTCATACTTGTTATGGCTAGGAAGTTGACCAATTTTAAAATTACAAAGGTGATTGCCAAGTTATATGACTGTATCACTTGTCTGTATAATGATTGGTTGTTGATTAATAGATTCAAAGTTCTGCTATGTTGTACAAACCTGATTGGTTCACAAGTATCCTGTTTGAATAATATTTCTGTAATCCTATAAAAACTCTGACCCGACAATCATCAGGGATGCGTCTACTCCTGAGATAGACAGCCCGGCCAGTCGAAATAATAAACATTTACCTTGCTGCTTTTCTTAAAGTGGTGCTGGTGATTTTTTTTTCAAACTCTGACATATAACACTATGACTAACAGACAAAAAAAAAACCTTTTAAATGTATTACCCTAGCAAACCACCCAGTCTCACCAATCAAAAGGCTAAGCATGTTATCAGACAGCATTTGAGACCTATAGTAAGAACCCATCCGCTTTGCTGTGACCTGCCTACTGAATGTGTCCTCCAATGTATTTGAAGTGTCTTGATTTATGACCTTTCTTTGTTCTGTTACTATAAAAATGTAAGGCACTGTTACCATGAGGGAACATGGTATTTGAGGTGACCTGAATCTAATGTTCCTGGGCCATAGTCACTCATATTTAGCTCCAGAATAAACCATCTCTTTATTCTTTAAGGTGAGAGCTGTTTATTTCATTGACACCATGTTCCTCAAAAAATTGCCAGATATTATTAGGAAATTAAATTCTGAGGGCTGGGCTATGAGGCACAGGTGTCAACCTATAGGTTGGAAATTGTGTTTTCTCACACTGCTCAGTCACCGTCCTCCCTGACTGAATGATACAAGGCACTGTAATCTTAAGCAGTTTGTTTCCAAACTTATTCTCATCCTGTATGTTAAGCAGAAAGCACATACAACATTTCTCACTAGGCACAATTCTGTCTATAGCAAGCTGTAAGTGTACTGGCGAGAAAGAAATCGATTGCTGAGGCCTGGACACCAGGCATAAATACTTTAAATAAAATGTGCTTAAGATGTGCTCCAGGAACAGTCCCCAAACCCCGATGGAGGAGAGTTTGGAGCTGGCTTTATAAGAATGGATAAGCACAGAAATCAGCTTGTCCACACAAAGACTTTATCACAACTTCAAAAATCTCCCCTGTAGACCCGGACACGGCTGTGCAAAACCATGTGGCCCATCCATATTGCACAAAAAAGCATCAAACTTGACCTCATCACGAAATTGACAATTAGATTCCCCCTTCTCCTGCCCTACAAAATCCATCACCACACTATCTCCTGCCTTCTTGATGGCTGAAAGGACAGAAAATCTGTAACTGATGTCATAGTATTAACATCTATGCACATCAGGAAGTGAACCCATATCAAGAAGAGGAATTCTGTCATATGTGTTAAGGCCTATCAAGTCAAGCTGTGTCCCCAGATGTCCCTTGGTGTGAGTTCATCCACCGGAGCCTGGTCAGCCTCCTAGTGTCACTCCCTTATAGACCAACTCTCCCTCACCTAGCAGTGATCAGCTGCCAATAGTTCCTCAGCTAAGGTTGGGCTTCTTACCCATTTCCAGACACCTGGAAAAATCTACATATATGACAGAATGCATGAAATTCAGTGTGGGGGTACTTTAGAGGGATGCATGCAGATAGCAGAGGTTGTCTGAATATGATTAAGATGTGTTATATGACATGTGCAAACATTCAATATAAAAACATCGTTAAAAGAAGAAGACAAAAGCTTCCACTGGCTCTTGTCTCCTTTTAGAGAGCTGCCTCAGAGAGAAATCCTGTGGAAAAGCCAGGCAAATCTGAAGAGCTCCCCTGAGAGCGGAGATCTACCCAGACTTCAGCTGAATCTGAGAGTCAGCCTAATAATGGCCCTGAAAGGTGCTAGCATCCTCTGCTCACAGATTTGAAAGCTGGGGGCTGGGGTGATGCCAGCTAGGGGGCAATCCCCCAATCCTCCACTCCTGAGGCTAGTTGAGATCACATTTGCTGTGATGATCTGCAAGCAAATATCACAAAACTGTACTTGTGAATTTGGAAGGTCAATGGTGAAGGTCAAGTAATTTCTCTTCCCAAAGCCACATATCATTGTTTACCACCCAGAGAAAACCCTTTGTTTGGTCCTTCCTCAGGTCTCTCTCCTCCATCAATCACACACTTAAAACCTTCGCTATCAACTGCCATCGAGTTCAAAGAGAGCCAGAAACTTCAAACTGATGTCAGCTAGCTTCAATTATGGGGTAGGTCCCAGAGAGTAATTCAGCTATCAGATTAAGGCTCTGCCTCTGGGAAAGCAGGGTCATCAGTGGGCCTGCATACTCAGGCTGACAGCACCGTCCCAGCCTCTACAGGCAGATCCAGGTGCCTGAAGGCACGGCCCACAGATGCCATCCTTCCTCCGACTGAGATCTTTGTGAACAAAAGGCAAGGAAGAGATGTCTTCATGTTGTACCCCACATGAGCGGTTTCCTTAGTTAAGGAAGACGTATTTTCCTGTGAGAATGTGGAAGAAATCAGTCACAAGTTTTCATGCTTAACAAGAGTCCCAAGTAGCCACCACCCTAGGTCTGGCAACGCCAATGTCCATTCTCAAACTGAAAGTGTCTTAAAAATAGAAGCAAAAATGAGGTCAGCTCATATCAAATTCCACCAAAAAGTAGAATACTAATATTTTAAAAATATTTTTGTGAGATTTAACATTTGCATGAACTTAATAATTTTAAGGATCTGGCTGCAAATGTCCTTTCAGCATCTAATACTGTCACACATATACAAAATGTCTTATGAGACATGGAGACTGAAATTCCCCTTTCCAAGGAGGAAATGGAGCATCAGACAGACTGGAAGCATTGTTGAGAGATGCCATCCGTGTCCAAAAACATTTGGCAAATATTTCACAACCTCAAGAGCTAGAAGGCTTCTGACGCTATATTTTCACTCTGCTAAATTGCATGTTGATCATCTGTATCTAAGATTAATTTTTACCTTTCCCTCTAAAATATGGAAATATCTTAAGCTAATTAAAAGAGAATCCATTGAGATTTCTGCTCAGGTAAGCCTGAGAGATGTGTGCTATGATGGCTAATCTTGATTGTGGACTTGGCAGGATTTAGAATCACCATGGAAACAATTCTCCAGGCACATCTGGGAGGGATTTCTAGATTAGGTTAACTGAGCTGGGAAACACACTCTGAATATAAGTGTACTGTTCCATGTGCTGGGGACCTAGACTGTACAAAAAGGGAAAGGTAGCTATGCACTGGCATTCGTCTCCTTCCGCTTCCTGATCTGACCCAGTTCAAGTTCCTACCAGGATGACCTCCCCGCCACGATGGACTGTCCCCTCAAACTGTGAGACACAATAAAGCACCTTTTCCTTACATTGCTTTTGTCACAGCAACAAGACAGGTACCTAAGACACAGGGTCTCACCTTGGTCGTGTTCCTTACTGTGGGCTTAGCAAACCCGAAACATGAAGCCGGGGCAATGTGTAGGTCAGATACTCGGAGAGGGGAAGCGTGCAGATAGAGTCAGAATCTGACAGGAACAGTGCGGCCCCAGCATCCTGTATGGCCTGACCTGTAAACACGCTGTCCTTTTCAGACGGACAGACACACTGTTTTCATAGTTTCAGTCATTTCATCAAATAAGCCATTGAGCACTGTGGGCCATTCCAAAGGAAGACATTTCTCCAGTCCCCATTGTGAGCCCGTCCATCACTCACATATCCAGACCTGCTCACAGCCTCTTATGTATCCTTCAAACAGAGGTGCTCTTTCATTATTTTTGTAGAGCATAAAAAGGAATGGGCAGTGTTCTATCAGCCATGGGAGAGAGCACAGCATAGTTTAATAGTCTTTAAATTTATTTTTATTTTATGAAAATGAACGTTTTGCATACACATGTGTAAGTAATGTGTGTGATGCCCACAGAGGCCAGAAGAGTGCTTTGAATCCTTTGGAACTGGAGTTATGGATGGTTGTTAGCCGCTATGTGAGTGCTGGGAGTCAAACCCAGGTCCTCTGCAAGAGCAGCCATTGAGGCTTCTCACAGTATATTTTAAAAAGTTACTTAGCAAAGTTCACTTGTTGTGCACAGCAAAACAGGTGACGACAGCCCACGACCAGCAGTGTTTTTCCTCCCCTTTCCCCCATCACCATCGGCACCACTACACTCCAACTGGGCAGCAAGCACCATCTGTACTCACCAAACCTTGGCAGGTGGAGAGTGCCACCGAGGAGCTCTCCTGTGACCGTAAGGAGCCCTGATAGAAGCAGAAGTCCTCCAGTGGGAACATCTGTGTAGACTTGGTACCTCCTCTCCCCAGAGTCTGCACCATGAACCCAGGGGCCACCAAGCTGCTGGCAGCTTTCAGGTCCAGGTGGAAGTCATGCTTGGTGCCCATCAGGCGCAAGTGAAGGGCGTCTCCTCCTGGCTGGGCCAAGGCCCTCCGCCGCCGTTGGTGGTGCGTTATGTCATGGGATACATAATCCCCCCTGTGGTCCACCTCGTAGGCTGACACCAGGTCATACTCTGAAAACCAGAGAGGGAGAGAGGTTGAGTTCTTGGAAAAAAAAATTCACTTCTTTAGAGGAGAACCTACTACTGCCATTCTCTAACTGTGTCATAAATCTTTATGCTTATGCCCACAGAGAAGCACAGCTCTCACCTCTCACCAAAGAAAATTCTTTTTGGCTCTATGGAAGTCCACAACTGATAAAAGTGTAGCGAATAAGTGATTGTGGGTGCACAGTGCCAGCTGATACATCAGCCACCTGACCACTACACCTAACACTCAGGGGAACATCACGGAAGCAGGGGCAGAAAGACTGCAAGAGATGGAGGACTGGGAAACCCACTACTGGACAGTGTTCTCTAGACATGGCAAGGATGGTGTGTCCATGACATCTCAGCAATCAGGTGCATAATGACAGCACTAGTTGACATGCCAACATGGACGGGAGAAAGTTTACAAGTTCTACAAGCAATCAGTGGTACTGAGAGAGAAACAATGAGTCTTCTCCAGGGACAAGCTCCCTGGAAGGTTATCCAATTCCAAGTCATCAGCTCTAAACACATGTACATAAGAGCAACCCTGAACAGACTTAGAAG